CCCCCGCCCCGCGCCCGGCGTTTGAATCCGCGGCGCGCGCGCGGCCGCCATTTTGTCCGTCCCCTCAGGGCGGGACGCGGTGCGGGGCCTCATCCTTGGGGCCGACGGCCTGGTGAGGCGAGGCCCTCCGTTGCTCACCTGCCCTTCTGGGAGACGATACTCCTCCGCGGCCCAGTCCCAGCCGCGGGGGTGCTCACTGGAGAGGGTGGCTGGTCCGATCGCGTTCCGTGACGTCACGGCAGCTCAGCCAATGGCCGCAGAGGGATGGGGTTGGCGCGCTGGAGAATCGAGGCAGCTTCTGCTGGGTTAAGGGCTTCTCTGGGAGACTGCAGGGACACCTCAGCCCCCGGCCCCCCCATGTAAGACATCCTCCGGGTCTGAATGCACCCCTTCTGCCAGGCTTGCCCTCTTTGGTGGAGAAAGATTGAGGAGGACTGCTAGAAACTAGAGCAAGAAGTGGGTACAGCTGGGCTGGCAAGCCATCTGGGTGCCCCTTCTCCCTGACAAGAAGAGGAGGAGCCAAGGACTTTCAGAACCCAGCAGGTAAGTATTTTAGTCCAAAGCTGTGCCAAGTTTTAATTTAGTCTTATTGCCTAGTGTTGTTATTTCTCCACAGAAATAGGGTCCTCTGTATAATTGCAGGCTATTTTTTTTTAATTAACTTCTTGTGACCTGAAATCTAAAACGGAAGTGGATACCCTCTCTTTGTTCACAATGTAGTGCACTACCACCATCTTCTGTCCTGCCAGGAATATTGCAAATCATGCTTCTTATATCCTTGAGAGTTTTTTTTTTTAAAATAAAGTTTGATTTTTTAAGATGTCTTGCTAAAATGATTTTTCTCCAAAAGTGGTGGGGGAAAAGGGCTAAAACCTCTAATCACACCCATATGCACCACAGGACCAAGAGGTTGCATTTAAAAATATTTTTTTTACCCATTTATTTGTCAGAAAGCCAGTAGAGATTATGGGAGCCCTACTCCTGTCATAGACCAGGCTTAGAGGGTAGATGCCCAGTGGGGCAGTTCCTGGAAGATAAACTCTGGCAGCAGTAACTACTGAACAGCTACATGAAGTCAAGAAGATGGAACTAGGGTGCTTTTGGGAGAGGAGGTTTGAGACCATATATAGAAAGCCTACAACCCCAAGATTCCTTAGGAGTCCTCCACAATTCTACCTAACTTCTGATCTCAGACAGGGTTGGCCAGGAGCTACCACCAGTTGGGACCTGAGATCCTCTGTGCTATTGCTATATAAACGTGATGAAATGCCTGTAACAGGAACACAGAAGATCCTCTCATACTGCTGTATCTATAAAGTTGGGCTTGAAGAAACTCCAGCAAACAGAACACTATTAGGGTCTCCAGGAACTAAACAAATTATGTATACACCTCTAAAGTTGAAGATTTGTTTTGGTAATAACATCACTTTGTCTCAAGGGGAACTCTCAGAACTAATGTGTTGGGGTTTTTTTGCATACTGTGTGTATCCGATGTTAAAATGGTAGAGGGCTAATATGATCTCTCTTCTTCCCCAAATAAAATTAATCTCTACTGTCTCTTCTGCCTTACTGGAAAGAATTTGATGTCAAAACTAAGGGGAGGGGGGAGGTGAGAGATACGAAAGAAAGCCCAGAATAAAGCTCTAATGGAGAGGGTAAATCCATGCACACAGCTCCCAAAGCATAGCTCTGAACACACTTTCAACAAATTATATAGCTTCCAAGTTAAAGCAGTACAGATTTTACTGCCATATATAAATACAGTACATTAAGTAAGTAAATAAATATACCTCTGAAAGAGCTATACTTTACAGAGAAAATATATTTATAGCAGTTCACCTAATAACTTTAGGCTGTTTCATTAATAGGTTGGTAATGAGATGAGGGGAACATCAGGAGGCTAAGAGAGGACATGGTACTGTCAGACTGTGATTGTGCTATGGTAAAGTATAAATGAGGACAACAGGAAAAAAAAAAAGGTCTTCAAACTAAGGATTTGTAAACTGCAGAGAAAACTAATCAATCAGAAAACAGAAATTTGCCTAATTTGGGTATATAATGCAACCAAATTATGTGCTAGAAACAGGTGTCCGTGGGAAGGAGCAAAAAAAGGCAGCTGTGCTCACATGATCAAAGCCCCCCCCCTTTTTTACATGTATCATGCATGATTGCATAGCTGCCATCTTGACTTTCTTTGTCCCTGTGGACATTTTTACCTTCAGCTAGAAAAAATTATTGTTCTTTGCATGGCTGAATAAATTAGAATAAAGAGAAAACTACAGATAAGGTGGATGGGCAGGATCAAAGAGATTACTAGAATGTCCTTGGAAGAGTTACACATCATTACTAAATTCAGGTCAAGTTTTTGAACATTTGTCTATGTTGTCACCAAGAGTCAGACCCAACTTAATGGCATCGCACTCATTCACTCTCCAGTTGAATAGCAGCTGTACCATACTATTGGCAGTATGACACTCTGGCTCCAAACTTTTCAAGGTATACATGAGGACCCAAAAGTTGTGTCATGTAGCTATTAGCCACTTATACATGACTAGCTGGCTGAATTAACACATTGCTCTAAATCATAATATGGCTTGGTTTTGACTTAGCATGCTGTGTGAAGCCAAGTGCGGCTTTTTTCAACTGACCACAGTTCAGCAAAACATGATATAGCAATGTGATCCCAACCACAGTGTACCAGGAACTGTATAACACTGTCTTTTTTTCTAGGGCATCTAACTTTCATGCTATGTAACTGCGCAAGAATTTTTAAAGTTTCATTAATTTCAAGTGAAATTGGGCTCTAATGAAAGTTGCTGATTTTTAGTTGCAATTCAATGGACAGAATCATTTAAATCAATTAAGGATAAGGCTAGAACAATGCCAAGACTAGATGATTTTTTAAAGGCTGCTGTGGGCAGAGGTCAATTGGATGGTCAATTTTACACAAATAGTTTTTGTGTAAAACACATAATAGTTGCAGAAATGCTGCTCTGAAAGCTGATAGATTGGACAAAAATATTTTATAAATCTATCAAAAAGGATTGCATAACTTCGGTTATATATTTGTTGTTAGATTATGGCTGATAATGTTACTGTCCTATAATTTCAGGCAATTTATTTTTAATTTACTGGAAATATATCTAGAAAACTTGTATGTCTTTAGGGCTGTAAGGAGAACATATTGGTAGCCATCACTAAGAGTCTAATAGAAAAGGGTCCATGAAGAGAAAAGGAAGAACTTGCACCATAAGGTCATTAGCACCACCACCTTACTTGAAGGAAGTTTGTAAATAAAAATACCATAGATATGATTTTAAAGGAATTGCTTATATTGTTTGTAATCCATCTTGGGAAAACTGTTATTCTGAAAGGCAGGGTATAAATATTATCTGTGTTAAAAGATAATTCTGCTTTTAAATTTTGCTTTATCATTCTCATCAGAAATCATCCTAACCATATCTTTTTGCAGTTATGAGCCATTATAATAACTATATGCTTCATAATCCTAGGATCTGGTTGTTTAAAAGAATAAGAACACAAATCACCTACTTACTGGGACTGAGATCCATTTAATTCACTGAGAGTTATGTTTAAGAAGATTGTTTACTATTCTTTGCAATATATAGGATTGTGTTGTAATCTTGCAGATTTCAGTTCAAAGTAGCTCTCCTGTGGCTGTTGCAATCCTAGGGGACATATCAGCAGTTGCTTTCACTTTTTTAATAAGTGTTGTAACCAGTTAGACTTTGGGAAATAATAATGATAAGTAAATACGTTTCTTATAGTTTTTTTTTCTCTGTTAATTAAAGCTTGGAATATGAATGTCATTTGTACAGTAAATACTAATTACTGTGATGCATTTAATTGTCACAGGTACTACATGTGTTAATTCCTTCTTTTGTGGCCTTTCATCTTGACAGCTTAAACTAGGAGATGACAAGCTAAAAGAGGAACAATTTGACTGAAACCTCCTCTCCCAAAGACTAGAAATGTGAGCTTGCAGAAGGTTTGCCTGCTTAAAAGCAAGAGAAAAAAATTAGGATGCCTCAACACATAAAATCAGTCCTTAGTTTCCAATGCTATTTCACAGCAAAAAAAAAAAAAAATGCAAGGCAGCTTAAAAAATGAATTAGTGTTAGCAATCTGAATTGTAAAGATAAACTATCTAGTCACTTTTTAATTGCAACCCCATGCAAGCAAAACATCTTCAAAGGTTTAAAACATATTCAACAACATATTCATAAACCTCTTTGTTTTATGAGGTTACAATACATTAACCAATCAATGTGTGCTAACATTTGTAGCCCCTCTCCTCCATCCCTATGAGTTAGGGAAGAGTTTAGCAATGCTATTAATATAATATGAATGTCTGTCCCTAAAGAGATGGGAAAAGTATTAATTTTACACATTTTCTTCAAGACAATTCAGTGGATTAGCTGTAATGAAGGAATTTAACCTAATGTGACTGGTTGCGCATTTATACTTCTCCAGTAATAACATTAAAAGTACAGTACAATTTTCATCCTATATTTATCTGGGAGTAAATCTCCCTTCCCTCCTGAAGTTGTTACTCCTGCCAGAAGGGAAGCTTCCTTTGACCTTAATGGAGTTTTCATGAAATAAGATTTCTTCATCTGGACCTTAACATACAGCTGGAGAGAAGGGTAAGAACTCCTCCCTCTATGTCAGTTGTTATAACCGTTCTCCAAGGATGCAAGAATGTCATGCATCTCATATTAGTTTAAGCATGCTGGGGAAGGAGATAGCCACTGCAGGTGGTATGTCGTTCCATGAGCCATAATGCAAATGTGTCCACGGGGTGTGTGTGTGTGTGTGAAGAGGTCATAGGGCCACAATAGAGGGTTGTCCACAGGGGGGGTCAAAAAAGTCAAGATAGCAGATGCAACCACATGTTCAAAGCTGTGCACCTTTTTTATGTGCATCAAGCTGTTTGAATGAGTGGCAGAGAAGAAGGGAGCCATCTGGACCAAGAAGAATGGAAATTCAAGCCAGCAAGAGGTGATGGTAGTAGAAACCTACTACATTTCTCCTCTATATGTTAGATTTGATCAGCCATTGTGGGAAACAGGATGTCAAGGTTAGATTAACATAGCAGTGTTCTTCTTACATAACTGCATACATCCTGAACTTGGTCTTGATTGACCCTGTTCACTGCATGCAAGCCTTCAAACATCAGAATAATTAATAATAATTTGGCAATTAACTTTTTGTCATTTTCCACAAGAAGTTTAAAGATAACTTTGCATTCTCATATGTTTCCCACCCACTCAGTCTGGAAGGAGACATATTTTGCCATTTTGGAGGGGGAATTTCACAATAGTTACATCAGGAAACGATTACAAATATGAACTTATTAAACTCATTCTTGGTTCATATTTCTTTTGAAATGCCAACAGAACAGCAAAACATCACAAGATCAGAAAACTGCCAAAGGGGGATTGGTGAAAGTAATTAATTGAAGATTATAATTAAGACATCCTTTCAGTGTGACTGAGCTTTCTTTTTCCATAAAAACTAGT